ACCGATGGCGCACCTGCGATGTGTGGAGAAAAGGCAGGCTTGGTTGGACTAGTGAAGGAGAAAATGCAAAAAAGTAACTGCCACACACCTCTGATAACTTATCATTGCATTATCCACCAAGAAGCTCTGTGTGGAAAGGTTCTAGAACTGGATGATATAATGAGCACAGTCGTGAAAACAGTGAACTTCATTCGAGCGCGCGGCCTGAATCACCGCCAGTTCCAGCTGTTTTTAAAGGAGGTGGGCTCGGAGCATGGAGATATGCCATACCATACAGAAGTAAGGTGGCTGAGTAGGAGCGCGGTCCTCAAACGATTTTTTGAGCTGAGAGAAGAAATTGCGCTTTTTATGCAAAGTAAAGGAAAGCCTTTGCATGAACTGTCTGATCCAAACTTGCTGTGTGACTTTGCTATGTTGTGTGATCTAGCTGAGCATCTCGCCCATCTGAATCAGAGGCTGCAGGGACGCAAACAAGTCATCACGCAGATGTCCGACATGATCACAGCTTTCCAGCGTAAACTGCACATGTGGAAGTCCCAACTGGAACAGGATAATCTTGCCCACTTTCCTGTCTGTCAGAGCATCTCCGCCTTAGCCTCTGGTGCTTTTTCATGCGCTCGGTTGGCTACCAAAGTGAACCGGTTAATTAATGAATTTGATCGGCGCTTTTCTGACTTTAAAACACAGCACCCAGGCTTTGCCATCTTTTCCAATCCTTTCACTGCTGACGTTGACAGTGCACCCCATCTCCTTCAGATGGAGTTAATAGAACTTCAAAGCAATAGTGCCCTGAGAGCAAAGTTCCAGGATGCTGCAATCGAGGACTTTTACAACCTACTGCCCCCTGAATTGATGCCACAGCTTCGGCTTAATGCTGCCCGCATTCTGTCCATGTTTGGGAGCACCTACTTGTGCGAACAGATGTTTTCAATAATGAATGTAAACAAGACCAAGCACAGATCACGCATCAATGATGACAACCTCCACGCTGTTTTACGGATTGCTACAGCACAAGACCTAAAGCCAGACATTGACGAACTGACCAGAAGAAAACGGTGTCAGACATCCAGCCAGAAGACAAATTTGTAAGCATTTTTATAAACCTGAATTGCATATATATATATATATATATATATATATATATATATATATATATATATATATATATATATACATACCTGAATAAGTACTGTGTAATAATGTGTGAAATGTAATGTTTGAGCTTGCATTTTGATTTGTGTTTGTTATTTTCAGAACATGAAGTGGATAGGATCTGAATGAAATGAAAGGATCTTTGGTGTGTTGAGGTCAAGCAGCATCACCTCATCAGCTTCACTCAGAACTTGACCAATACAGTTGTGAACTGAGACAACCCCTGTTGCTATTTTGAGTTAATTACACATACTACATTGTGAATGAAGCAATGTTCTGTGTGTTTACAGGTGTATGTGTCCATCCAGCAAAATGTTTACTGTAATCAAAACCATATCTCATTAGTTGGATTGGATATCCCCTCTGCAAGGCTGTCTAGCCTTTTGTTTTTGTAAAATGCCACATCTGTCACGCATGTTTTCAGCCTCTGACACTTACTGTATGTGTTGGACCATAGTTCTGCCCGTCTCAACTGTGGCAAAGTTTTGAACAGAGTTGATTTAATAACTTGTGTTTAATGATATTTGTCTTTGTTATTCACTTGACAAGTATGATCTTTTCTTAACCTTAAAAATTAAATGAATTAGATAAATGTATGTTCTATAACACAGAGCAATGTCCTTACATATATTTACATTTATTTGAATGCCTTTGGTGTATTTGTACACTTGAATAAATAGTTATCAAATCGAATAATTTTATTATAATAATTTGTTATATAGCACTTTTCTAGGTACTCAAAGCGCTTTACATTGAAGGGGGAATCACCTCAATCACGACTAATGTGCAGCATCCACCTGGATGACAAATGCAGAGAGTTATTTAACAATATGTTAAGTAGTAGCTGCATTTACACAGTTTTATAGTTACAACTGGCCCTTTGAGGCAAACCATAATGCTGATGTGGCCCGGGGTAAAAATGAGTTTGACACCCCTGCTCTAGACCCTTCAAGAGCTGAGATATCGAAACTCAAAAATTCGACCCGAAAAAAAAATGACAGTGGTACCCCTTTTGTTTTGTTTTTTTCGGGCGAAAAATTAAGTTTCTCCAATCTTCTCAAAACTCTGGATTCTGATAGAGGGCCATGGGACTTAGACCTGAGGGCAAAAATGGAGGCTCTAGACCCTTCAAGAGCTGAGATATCGAAACTCAAAAATTTGACCCGAAAAAAAAATGACAGTGGTACCCCTTACGGTTTTTTTTTTTTTTCGGGCGAAAAATTAAGTTTCTCCAATCTTCTCAAAAATCTGGATTCTGATAGAGGGCCATGAGACTTAGACCTGAGTGCAAAAATGGAGGCTCTAAAGTAATAGTTCACTTTGAAATTAATGTTTTATTTGTTTTAGCTTACCTCAAGGGCATCCAAGATGTAAGTGTCTTTGTTTCCACTGTAGTTTTTTTTTGTTTTGTTTTGTTTTGATATTTTTAGGTCAAACCGTTCGTGTCTGTCAGTCATATAATGGAGGTCTATGGTCACCACCTCAAAGAGCATGCACAGAGAAGACCAAATTAAACACGTTTTTAACACGAAACGAGCGGTTTGTGTGAGAAAACGAACAGTATTTATATAGTTTTTACCTCTTGTAACCACAGCCACGTCCAAGTGATCTGAGGGCGCGGGCGCTTTGTGTCTGTGGTTACAAGAGGTAAAAACGATATACTGTTCTTTTTCTCACACAAACCGGTCATTTCGTGTCTTAGGCCATTAATGTGTACTTACATTTACGCGTCATTAAATCATGTTTAATTTGGACTTCTCTGTGCATGCTCTTTGCGGTGGACCCCATTGACATCAATTATATGACTGACAGACAAGAATGGTTTGACCTAAAAATGTCAAAATTGAAAATACTGTGGAAACAAAGACACCTACATCTTGGATGCCCTTGAGGTAAGCTAAAACATAACAAAAATTAATTTTAAAGTGAACTATCCCTTTAAGACATTGTGAGAAAAGAGGTAATGTTGCAGTGATTGAGACAATTAAAGTGTTTTTTTAAACTTGAATGCATGTAAACCTGTCATTCAAAACAAAATGAAAAATTAAAATAGCATATTATGAGCACTTTACAGAATTATATGAGAATTAGAGAACTGCACATATGCTGTGTCTCATATTTACCTTCCACAGCCACGAAGAGCTGATCACTGGTTTCTGTGGAGATGCTGTATGTTCTTCGGGCAACACACTGTGGACCTACAAGACATTACACAAATACTGAATAAACCTCCATTAATCATCTTTATATTTACACAGGAAATTGTACTCTGTGAGTATTTCAAACCATGTCCAAGCTATTCCATTTTTTTTTTTTTTTTTTTTTTAGATTAATATTCACCTTGTAGTTCAGGTCTGGCATTAATGTGGAGTCTCGTGACTGTTCTCAGAACAGACAGTTTTCCCAGTTTTTTGCCACCGGGTCCCTCGTCTTCTCCTCTCCTGTCTGTAGACCCGAGCTCAGCTGTGAGGTCCTGGCTGTCTGTAGCAGGTCCAATCCGCCTGTGGAAAGCTCTGAAGAGCATGTCAATATGTCTCTCCCTTTCCAGACCAAAGGGAAGAGGCTGAGCGGTCACAGATGGGAAGGCCTGAGAGAGAGAGAGTTTGATCAAATTTGTCAATGTCAATGAAATCAAATCAGTGAGAATTGCCCTTTGCAACCAATTTTTTTTTTTTTTTAATACAATGCAGTTCCATGTTAAACAGGAAATTAAATGAGAAACATGTACCAGACAAAGGTGTTCACTAAAACAGCAAAAGTCTTTCTCTTCTTTTCTGCCTTTCATCCCTGATCCAGCTTGTTTCCCAATCTAGCTTTCTAATAAATCTGGCATTGTATATTATGAACATTATAAAATATTATTGACAAATTGTTTATGCATTTCATAACCATATTCATTTCATAATAGTTGAAACCAGAAAATTGCAGCAAATTTAAGAAAAGGGGGGAAATTGACTAACTAAACATAAAAATAACTCAAAAACAATAATAAAAACGTATTTTTGTATTTTGAGAGCAAACATTGTATTTAATAATAATATATTTTTATTAGTATTGAAATTTTTTATTAATTATGTTTCATAACATTGCTTAATAAATATTAAATATCAAATTAATATTAATATTAAGACTGATTTTACAGGAAAATACCAGAAAATAAATAAGGCTAAAGTTATTTTTATTTTATTTTTTTAATTCTCTTGCGAACAGCTTTTTAAAGGGAACAATAAAAATACAGTAGCAACAAATTTAAGAAAAGAGGGAATAATATAAAATATAAATATAAAATATAAAAGTTTGTGATTAAGCCATAATAGAGCGTTTGTTGTGTAACTATGCTAGACATTGGTCATTAAAGTGATGGTTCACTCAAAAATTTAACTTCAGTCAAATGATGACTCAAGTAAATATTTGGGTGAACTATCACTTGTGAACTATCACACACCCTCAAGTTGAACTAAACCTGTATGAATATTCTTCTTTTTGCTGAAAACAACAGAGAAAAGCGATGAAAGAGAGATAAATTCTTACCATTTCAGGCCCTGAGGATTTAGGGGCTGTTGGGCAGGTGTAATAGTGATGGAACAAGGCTTTCCTTTACTGAGAAACAGCTTCCAGAAGAGCTTCAAATACTGTGTGTTAGCAGTTGTGATGCTACTACACCAAACACCCCCCTCTCTGCCCTGCTCTCTCCTTCCCGGATTTGCTCTTTGTCAGACAGAAAAGTACCAGTCAGCCATGTAATGAAGATCCTCCTCAAGCTAGTGGGGGGTAGTGGAGTGATATTACCTAAACTGAAACAATTCACATGATTGCATGCAGAACATCATCTTTGTCCTCGAAGTAGAGAAGGTTCCAGTTTTTTTTTATTTTCAGAAAAGCATTCTAGTTGAATCACTAGACAACATTAAAGCTGACTGACAAGCAAATAATATGACATGTATGATTATGAACAACTGATCAAAGCCATTTTATAGATCCAACCAGCTCTCTTCTTTGGAGACCTTGAATCGCTTTCAGTAGGTCTACAGCAGTATCTTCAACAAAGTCCTCCTTCTACTGCAGATTCTCTGAGTCTATCGTTTTGAACTTGTGTTCATCCGGTGATGTCTCCAGGTGAGATTTCAGGCAGGTATTTTTTGGGGTCTCCTGGGAAAGGCTGAGATGGTGCTTGGTTAAAATGTCCCATAAGGAAGATTCCGATGGTTCCCAGTATAAACAGCAGCACCATGACGATAAAGCACATCCTGTCAATCACCCTGGCAACCAGAAACCATTCTTCATTTTCCTGCAGAACGAGAAAGAAAAAAAAGGATTTTTTTTTTCTTGGAAAGTTAAACCCTAACACAAACATTTGCTGCTAATGTGTTTATTTTGTAAACGTTCAGCCTCATGTGTGGAGGATTCTGGAACAGTGACTCACACTTTGAAAGTCGTTTTGATGCTTGACACTTTCTGCAACGTTTTTACAGGAAGACACACACTGCTGCACTTCTGGTAAAGCCGAAGCCAGACTGGATTCCAGATCCGGTGCCGTGTTTCCTCCTAGACCATTTTCTGAGGTAAAACATTATTTGGGGTAATTATAGCAGAAAATATTATTTTGTTGTATTTAATAAGAAACATTTTATTTTTTATTGAAATGTTCAAAAGTATTTAATATTTATATTATACATGATTTATTGTAATCATTTCTATACTATTAAATACAAGTGTTGTTTTAGTTTTTATTTTAGTTTTATTATATATTTACTTAATATTTATAATTAGCATTTATTTTATTCATATTAATTTTAATTTTTGTTTAGTAGCCTATAATCGTTATCTGCTTATTTTTTCTCAAAAAAAATGCTATTTAGATCTATTTTTTTTCGTTTTTATTAATTTCCAGTTAATAATTTTAGAGCTTCAAATTACACTTTTTTTCAGTTTATTGCCAAGGCAACATTTTGTTTAGTTTTAGTTTTTCAGCTTATATTTGATTTTATTTCAGTTTAAGTATTATTTCAGTTAACATAAATGGTTTAATAGTTTTAGTTTGTTATGAATAAAAACCCTGTTGAATACTTTTTTTAAACATAATATATTAATATTAAATTAAAATGTTTTTGAAAAAAGTTTCTTTGCTCACTATGGCCGCATTTATTTGATCAAAAATATCATTGTAAAACATATATAAGATATATTATTAGATATATTAGATATAAGATATATTATTATATATCAAAATAACTGTTTTCTATTTTAATATATTTTAAACTGTAATTTATTCCTGATGAATTTTCATCATCAGTCTTCAGTGTCACATGATCCTTCAGAAATCGTTCTAATATATTGACTTGTTGCTCAAGAAACATTTCTTATTATTATCAAGTTGAAATTATCAGTTGTACTGCTTAATGTTTTTGTGGAAACCTCTATGTTGAATAGAAAGGTCAAAGAACAGCATTTATTTGAAATATAATTTTTTTGTAACCTTATATGTCTTTTCCATTTTTTGTAATCAATTTAATAAATCATTACAAAATAAAAGTATTAATTTATTTCAAATGTATTAATTTTACCCACCCCCAAACTTATGAATGGTGATGTAGTTAGTATATCGTATATAGTAGATAGTAGATAGTAGTATATAGTGTTTGTTCGTAACTGTTGACTCACGTATTTTCTCCAAAGTGTTCTTGAGCAGCCCCTTCCTCTCCTTCAGTCGACTGAACATCAGCTCAGAGCGAGCAGTTCTGAACATGTATTCATCCGCCTTTGCTATTAAGCCCAAAGAGCTGCGTCTCCTGCGGCGAAGCGGGGTGCCGTTACCCAGGGCAAACATTTTAAAATCCCCTTCCTCCAGCTCAGGTGTCCAGCGCCGCATCGTCATCCTCAGCAGACGAGGAAGCATGTTCAGAAAGACCTAAGATCCCCCAAAATGAAAAGACATTATAGAACTTAGCACTACATAAATGCATTTGACGAATGCTGTTGGCACAAAGTGACTACGTTCCCATTGCATTCAAGATATACATAGTACGTTTTCTGAAAATAAAATCCAAGACCTTCACATTTCTAGCATCATGTATAATAATAACTTACTCATTCTTTCCTTGTGGATTGGACAGGTGGTTAGACAGTTCTGTTGTACCTTTCTGATGGTGTTGCTCATGGGGTGGGTGTTTGGAGTTCGCAGAGAGACGTTCAACACCACCACACAGTTCATCACAGTTATTGTGGTCACGGACATCACAAACATCAGATACCTGCCAGAAAAACACACATTTCTAGAACAGCACCATTTCACTAGCTCTTATGCTAATATTAGACCACAAAGACACAAATAGTCTACATAGCACATCCACAGGATGTCCACAATCTGTTCACTAAACATCTGACATATATGGCTCATGAAATGCAAAGACTTGTACCTTAATATAACAGCTTCAAAGTCCTTTCGGTGGTAAACAAACTCATAGTAGCTAGGGTGAATCATTCTGGTAGTAAAGCTTGGGGGACGCTGCTCGAAAAACCAGCAATGCAAGTTTAACCCTACTGCACGGTGTTGCCATATGGCAACATACCCTTTCTTGGACATTTCTTGGAATTTGAAAAGAAATATGAGCTCTGATTAATCTTAAATTTATGGTAGAACCTGGTGGTAACCAATGATATGCTTTGATGACATCACATGACAATACACACCATTGCACTGTCATTCTTCTCACACACTTTTGATGAATCCAGTTGCTGAAGAAGTGCTTGTGAATATGTGAAGATTTTCCTCAATTTTTCATATTTCTTCAGAATTTAAAATGACAAAAAAAAGCATCTGGGTAGTTCTAATCTTTTTTCAATCATTTTCACATTGTTTTGATACTATTATTACCTTTATATTCAATAAAATAAGGTCTGTAATCATCTATGAATTTCATGTCATTTTGGGAGAAAACACATCAGGCTGTTCCATTGTCGCACAATGTTGCCATATGGCAACACACCTATAAGTACCCAAAACAATTTGAGTATAATTTGAGTCTATTTTATATATAATAAAACACTGTAACATTTTTTTTTTCCATGATTGCATAATATTGCGTGCAGTAGAGGGTTAAGAGGAGCATCCCCGACAAACCTCGCGAGAATTACAACATGCTTTACGGCAACGACATCACACACATCAACAACAAATGAGGCATGAAGACACTTCCACGCATTTCAGGCGTGATACTTGACGATGGAAAAAGCAAAGAAAACGTGGTCGGAAGAGACTAGGAAAAGGAAAAGATGATCGGACCGCGTGAGGAACCAGACAAGAGTCGCACTCGCTTAGGATTTTCCATAGATGGGGCTTTTCACTCATTGGCTGAGCTAAAAAGCAGCACTGGATGCTGACCTGGCGATCTGGCTAAATAAATGTATTCATTTCTTTAAAGACAAAAAACCTTACTGACCCCAAACTTTTGAACGATAGTGTATGATTTTCCTTCTATTGCACACAATTAATACCAGGTTATCTGAAACTGCTGAAAAGGTGTGATGAGTGGATAAAATCTCAGACTCACTTTCCAATGAGAGGAACAGCCTGGGAGGTTTCTGGCACTTTCTTGGCGATAAGAAACAGGAAGACAGTCTGACCGAGCAGGATAGCAATGGTCATAGTGCATTTCTGTCCTCCAGCTAATAAAAACAAACCATTAAATCATCAATAATCACAATGATCATAACCCAGTCAGTCAGCTGCCACTATCAACAATCATGGAGAACGAGGGATCTATTTCATAACTGAATGACAATGTGTCTCCTGATTTGTTAAATTTGTTAAAAGTACTAATTCCCTTTCATCAAATGGATAAAAACATTTTTATAAAAACTTTATAAAAAGAAGTTTCCCCTGTTGTCCCCCCTGGCCAATGGCCCTGATTGACATTATCGGTTAGATCACTTGATGTTTACTTTGCTTTCCTCCAGAGAATCCTATGTATTCCTAAGAAGTGTTGTATATCGACCACTGTAACATCATTTGTTATGGAGCCTGTCTGACCTTTGGCCGGCAGGAAGTAGACGAGTAGCCCAAGGGATGAGAAGAGAACACAGGGCACGATGATATTGATGACGTAGAACAGTGGTTTCCTCTGGATGATGAGGAAGAAGATGATCTCCTGGTGCTCCAACTCATCTGGGCTGTATCGCGTCTTCACTACCTTCTTAGCAGGGCGGTGCTTAATAATCCATTCCCCATTCTCTGCCCAATCAGGGCACAGAACAAAATACATGTTAATGAGCAAAATGATAAGTGTTAGTATAGTTTGCTGAGCCAAGCGCTACCACTATTCCTCATACTTGAGCAAAACTCTAAAATTTCCCATATGTTGCAATCATAATGATCACAACATGTAATACTTGTTTAATGAGCTCAGTGTTTCTGCCTAAATTAATAGATTAGAACTATACATTTCTAGATATTTGGACATTACTTGGACAGTCACTTCTGAAAACAGATTTATTGTACCATAAAACATGCATCTTTTCTGTAAAGATGCTTTGTAACGGTGTGTATTGTGAAAAGCAGTTTACTGTACAAATAAATGTGAATTGAAAATGTAGTTTGAACATAGAGACATAGATCTGAACAACCCCTATTTCACCACCACAATAAACTTTGGTGTGTAAAATGTTCTGTATCTTTTATGAATGAAACCCTGAGTTGTAAGGCCTGGGTTAATGTGATATTAATTTTATCACATTATGGTACCCCCCCCCCCCCCAAAAAAAAAAAACGGCATAGCAATATGCTAAAAACCAATTGAACTCTGGTCACATTTACCGTTGTTCTGTGACTTTTCATGGAATTTCCATTTCAATAGGAATCTACACAATCTGGGATATCGCATGAGAGTGAAAGATTTCCTAATGCAAATTTGCTCACTTGAATTTGTTTATTTACCAGAAAGTTGCTTGATTAGAAAGTGTCTCATGTTTGAGCTATGCTTCATTCATACTGTAGCTGCACTATTGACAATACATTGTGAAATTTAAAAGAAAATGTTTTATAATTGTTGCAGCTGCCGTTAGAACAAAGTCCCTTTTAAAGGCAAGTTATTTCACTCGGGGGCCATCTTTGAAACGCCTCTTGGGCATGCAAGTACAGCTCTAATCTCTTTGAATGGGGAAACATCAACTTCTCTAAAACTGTTCACCAAGATTAAATTTCATACTTGAAATCACCAAAGAACCAATTTTGTTTCTAAACACTCAAATCGTGACAAAAAAAAAAGCTTTTTTTTTTTTTTCAGGCTAGACCAAGCTAATGCGCATACGCAGTCCCAGTATGGCCGCCGAGTGAACAGACTTTCCCTGAAAAGGACTTTGAAATCACTGACTTTAACAGTTAACAAGTCAAATAACACAGACCTACTGAATTTTACAGAAAGAGACTTGATTATGAAAAATAATGCGCAACAGAATGATAAGTACCAGTGAAAGCTTCTGGATCGATCTCAATCCATTCCATAGTGACGTTGTCTTCGTCTGAGAGCATCAGTCGAATTTCATTGGAATTGTACGTCTGAGACCTGCCAAAGCAATCAGCGTGAAACCCAGCATAAAGCTACTTCCAGCAGTCGTCAACTGTGGGACAGACGGATCAGCCGTACCTGAACACCATGCTGCAGTTCTGCCAGTCGAAGGGGAAGTAGTTGACTTTGATGGCACAGGAGCTCCGATAGATGGCAGGGGGCAACCAGTAAACACTACCGTCAGGATCAATCAGAGCATTAGTGTAGAGCGCCACCTCAAAATGCCCATCCACACTTTACACATAGTACACACACACAAACACACAAAAAGGTATGTGTCATATTTGATGGGCCAAAATACTCAGATTTGTGAAAAGGTTTTTTTTTGTCTTTGTTGATCCTGGAACCATATTTCAGACAACCAATCAGATTTGAGCGACAAGTTTACACTTTATGTCAAGTTTTGACTTACAACCAGGGTTCAGATAGCAACATAGTGTCGGCCCAGATCCGGCCCACATCCGGTACGCATTAAATCCACACGTTCCAGATGCGGGCCGACACCATGTTGCTGTCTGCTTTTACATCAGTGTTATTTACCATCATTTCCCTCTGATTTTAGGGATAAGTAATGCGGGTTAGGTTTAGGTGTAGGAAAATGACGTTGACCATTTTATTTATTTAGTGATTTAGTTACATTTTATGCATGTACATTTTGGATATTCTGCACAATCAAAACAATTATCTTCAATAATTCAATCACTCACTTGTTCTCCAGGCCAACATCGGGCAGCCAGATGGTTTTAGAAGGAAGACGCATACGGGTGATGTTCTCGTAGACCTCGAACCCTGTCCTGTTAGCCCAGCGGAGTCGATAATCACGCCATCTCTAGACAGAAAGAAAGATATTTTGCTCTGAAACCACTGTTGACATACTGACATATACACAGATGCGATTTGTCTTACCATTTCAATCCAAACGCAAGTGGTGAGAGTCTCCCCTTTTTCATTCTGAACATGAAAAAAAGATGATAAACCTTAGAGTCACATATTACACATATATTTATCTTGTGCAAACACATTGCAGAGTTTTACCAGAGAAATGAGGTTGGTGAGGGTCATCTTGATCTTTACATCGGTGATGTCACCGTGGTGCTCCATATGTCGAATGTTCTTGTTGTATCCCACCATTAGATCTCTGTGCAGAGATCCTTCCAGATTACAAACCACATCTAAAACAAATAGACAAATGACTGTCAATGTAATCCAGCATTTTATTATTTGTCAAAAAAAGTTATTGTACCTTTGTTTAAAAAAAAAAGTTCTGTTATTTTGATTAAATTAAGGAACACTTTTCCACATAATTACTTAAGGACATTTGCAAAAAAAAAAAAAAAATGTTTTGTTGAATAAACTAAATAAATTTAGGTTCCTGTGTCCGATACTAACTAACATACTATACTAAAAACTACAACTAGGGTGTTTCCATTCTGTAAAGCTAAAGTACAGCGAAATGGTCCGATGTTAAGTTTTTTTAAACAACTTTTAATGTAAAATTTGCTAATAATTGCATAAAGCAAAACATGCCTTTTGAACTTTACAGTGAATACAGATACAATAATTTACACTTAATAATGCCGGAATGCCTTTGCATTCAGGATAACACAAATAAAATGTCTGGACTGTAAATGATCAAAAACAAAATATGTATTTAATGAATAATTAATTGAATTAAAATATGAAAATCTACTACAGCTGACATCATACATCCGCTAAAAATCTTGAGACCACTTTAAAAGGAAAAAATGCATCAGAATGTATTAGTTCTTGCACTTATATGCTGATGCAACTTACTTTGATATTTTATTATGTAATGCAATGACATTTATTCGTATATGTATTAAGAGTGACTTGTATCCAAACACTATTAATGTGTCATTAAAGGGCTTGCTGTATTTAATCCTATGGGTTCCAAATTTATTTTATTTTTCAGAAGTCTTCTTATTGAACTTTAGTCTTGGTTGGTCTATGCAAGCATTACACCTTCACAATTAAAACAATCCCTTTATTACTAAAGTAGATACACATAGCAGCCCATAGACATGGCAAGCTTTTGTGTAAATCAACAAGGATTTAACACCCTATTTAACACCCTGTTTGACAAGCTGACACTCAGTAACTTTAAAACTCAACACATAGTAGCAGAAAAAATGATCATGTAGAGGCCAGTGGAGCCATAAAAGACTCTCTACCAGAATTTAATTACTTTTCCATTTGCTTTCTACAACATTTTTTTTGACAATCTGCATGTGCTGAACTGGATTAATTCACTCAATAGCTGGATTTTAAAACAAAGCTTTAGAACAAACCCAGTTACTCAAGCACGTAGTCTTACCTGAAAAGAAAAGAGATAGCAGGGTCCATAACCAGATGGTTTTTGATGGAGAGATCTGATCCATGTCTGATATCCTCAGAGAAGCATTAGTGAAGAAGGGTTCTCCAGCACCTGGTCAGTGTGTGAGGGAAACAGTTGTTTAGGAACATGAGGGGTTACGGGAAAAATAGGTGTGGTTCCAAACTTCCAAACCCATTGTTATTTTCAGAATGCCCAGAGTCTCTGCCCATATTCCTCACATTCTCAGCTGTCTCAGTACACACACACACACACACACACACTAAAGACCTCAAAGCGAGGTCACAGAAACTGGTTGTATTCTCTCTCTGTCTGTCTGTCTGTCTGTCTGTCTCTGGTTCTTTCTCTGATGTAAAACAGAAAGATAGGATTGGGTTCCAGCATTTCCCACAGGTCAGCGCACAGATGGTATCTTGGGCATGATTTGTGAAATGACACAAGTCATCAGCTGCCCTGTGTTCATTATTGTCTAATGATCGGAGACAAACAGGGTCATAACACCATATAAATTCATAAATTTACAGTTGGAAGTTGCGATGGATTTTCATGATTAATAACGTTCCAAATTATACAATATCCCGTCCTTGATATTAATATAATCCCGCGGTAACTAAAGAGCCTATCCTTTACTCGTTTCCTCGAGAGTTAGGCGATCAGTCTATATATAAATTTGTATTCTATTATTGAAATAATAGATTTCCCCTTTATATTATAAGTCAACATTCTGTGGTAGCCTACTCTTCAACTTTGTTCACTCACACTAACAATTTGTCATACATATATCCTTATACATATACACATGTTATATGCTGCCTCTTAGGCTAGTCTGTTTGATCAATCAAATATCACAGTGATTATTCTTATCTCAAAAGAAGGCTCACCCAAGGAGGATCCTCCCGGCCCAATTAGAAGAACGTGACTCGCACTCAATGATCCAAGGTCCAGTCAGATGACTATAATAATGTTATAAAATGTATTAAGATAATAAAATGAAAAAGGAATACTTGTTACAGATCATGAATGAGTACAGATAGATATTCAAGCTGCCGCTGACAACTGCTGGTGTGTCAGTTTGGTGGTTGCAAGGAAGAGCGAGGAACTTCTCTGTTTCTCCCTCTTATATAGTTATTTTCATGCAGTTGGCTCTTGTTGCCTCTAAGCGTTCTATAAGCATGTGATTATCTATAATGAGCAACATGTGCACATGCTCGTTGTTGCTAGAAGCAGCTATATTTCCCTCATGCTTGCAGAAATCCATTGTTGTAGAGAGAGTCTATATTTCTAAAACAACAATGATCAAAAGATATAAAGTTCCTCTTTATATATGATTTTAAAAGTTCAGAATGTTCATGATCTCCATTAGCTCAGACAGTTCCCTTAAACTAGTCTCATTACTCGGCACCACGTTTTTTTTATTATGCCCTTTTCGACCTTTGCGTTTGGATGGGGACAGAGGTCTTGCTGAAGATTTTGGGAAAGCGAGGTCAGTGCCATCTTCAGACGAACCTATTTCCACAAAGTCGGTTTTATTTCCAATGTTTTTGTAAATATATTATGCATGTTAGAAAACTAACAGAACAAAACTATCTCCAACAGTTTACTGGAATGTTTGAGTGTGTGAGCTGATCTGAGCTTAAGTGTGGGTTATGGGGTGCTAATGATCACATCCTCTAGTGTATTATTTTAATGGCATCTCTAATGACATAAATTTTATGACAGCTGCACTTAGTCTAATGTAGGCTATGTTTTACTGTAAGATGGGATTTACTGTAATGGGATGGGAGTTCTGACAAAAAAGTTTAAAGATGCAGTCGCTATCTTTTTTAGAGGGATAAAAGAGTATTATTTTTATTGAGTCTTTTAATTATTCACTCAACTGATTTGTTAAAAAAAAAAAGATTCATTCAGAAATTAAACATGCATGAAAGAGTCCTTCAATCATTCACTCGACTGATTTGTTTCAAAAACACTCATTCATTCATTCAGGAAAGAAACGTCACTGCTTTATGTTGCTTGGAGACGTGAAAAGGTTGCTTCTGCTTAGGATTTTTTTAGTTACTGTAACAGAGCACAAAAGTAAAAGTGACTGGCAATATTACAGTATATCTGAAAATTAAGTTAGCCTCAAATTACTGTAACAGAAATGGTGTATAAAAGTAATTTTTATGCATCTGCTGTATGAGCTGCTAATGCGAAAATCAGAATGGTCGTAATTGCCTCATAAGCAACAGATAGATACAGTATTTTAGACAACAGACGGACGGACGGACGGCGGCGGACGACGGACGGACGGACGGACGACGGACGGACGACGGACGTACGACGGAAGACAGGACAGACAGACAGACAGACAGGACAGGACAGACAGACAGACAGACAGACAGACAGATAGATAGATAGATAGATAGATAGATAGATAGATAGATAGATAGATAGATGGATCGATCAAGGGATAGGATGGTCCCTTGTTAGATGTAACAAGGGACCATCCTATCTGCTCATAAATAGAGAGCGAGCTCAGGAATATCATGTGTTGCCACCCTGCACCACTACAATCCTTCACCGTTAAGTGTTAAGGTTTATTTTTAACACTTTGGAATTTTGGAATGATGGATTCTAGACTGGTAGTTTGAGGATGAGGTAGGAGTAGGCCTAAAGCAGAGTAGATCAGATTAGAGTAGAGTAAAATAGAGTAGAGGGAGTCATTTGTACCACTAGTGTTGTGACTGCCCCGTTTACACGAGAACGATTCCGGGTGAAAACGTAAAAATATATAAATATATATGTATAAAAATATAATATATATGTAAATATATAAACGCAAAAAAGTGAAACCACCCTCCAGAGTGGAAATCTTAAAAACGCTCCACCGCCACGTTCCCGTGTAAACGGTAATGACGCAAAAGTCTGCTTGACAGTGAAAGTTACCCAGATAGCAAAAAATATCCGCACCGCTTCTTTTTGCCGCCGGCCCGACGCTGTCGCCTATAGGTGCGTCCCGCTGGCGGCGATGAAACGTTTGCCGCCGAACACGTCACTGACGGTCACTCCCATTTTTTGCGAGATGCCGCCGGCGAACAGCTGGCGGGCCGCCTGCTTCATTTTCACTGGCGGTTGCCTCCATCTCAAAAACCGACAAAGTTATTAGAATAAATGCAGCGTCTGTCACATTCCATCTTGCGTTCTTTTACGAACGCGTCAATATACGCGTACATTTTTTATATAAAGTTTAAATGATCATATCTCCGTTTTTACTTGGTCTATCAACACAAAACAAAAATTAAAATAGAATTTCAAGTCAGCTCTTTCGACAAAAGTGGACGGAAGCGCTCTACGTGACTTTGTTTTTATGCTTCGACGTCTTAAACTTTTATAAGGCCTGCAAATTCTGCCTGAAACGCCTAAAAAAGACCTATCCAAATTAAATTGCATGCTGTTCTTGAACCCTTGGGAGTATTTGAATACTTTTGGTCTCTTTTGAAAGGGGACACTTTGAGGTTTGTTCCTAAACAGTTAGAATCACAGTAAATCTTACTTGTTTTGAGTAATATAACTTTGAAAACACTAAAAAAGGGTGAAAAAATTTCCGCCTACATTTTTTTTTGTAAATGGATGTCTGCAGATAATTATAGCTGTGAGGTATTACCTGGAAAACACAGTGTGATCACAGCATGAAGCCTTACCAAGCCCAATTTAAAATTTTATAACAATAGATTAGAAAATGAGTGTTTTACACGTTTATCTAAGTGTATGTCTAGGCGTTTCAAAAAAAAGGCCACTTGGAGACTCCAAATGACCCTTTGTTACCACAGACACATAACATGCTGCTATTCATGAATGCTTAACTCTACAGTCATAATTTTGGGCTCTAATGAAACGTTACGCTTAGAGATATTATAATCCTTCCAGATTCACTGTCAATAATTGCTAACACATAGTAAGGGAAGCATAAAAACAATATAGTGGGGTTTTTTTTTTCAATTCTTGAAACCAAACTTTCTACAAATAAAGAGACAAAACAAGTTCTATTGAATTAAAACACTTTAATATTAGAATATTAGAATATTAATATAAGAATATATATATATATATATATATAGGGAAGGGAAGGTGAAGGATGGGGTTCTTCCTCCGATGAGGTACTGTCATGACCCTCAGTATTTCTTCCTCTACTGACTGGCTCCCAGACTTCATCTGACTCATTTTCAGATGATGACCTGTGATATAAAACAAAAACAAAGAAATAAGTAATTTTACAAAACATTTACACTGTTTCTGTATCCACATTCATATAAACAAAAACACATATGCACACAAACCAGGCTTATATAAACCAGTTCATGAGCACATACACACACACACACACACAAGAAGTTAGCAGGTACACGTCAACATACACACACACACACTGAACTGCGCTTGCACACACACACACACACACACACACACACACGTGTGTGTGTGTATAAAACCTGTACATATACCTGTATAAAACCTGTATCTGTTTATACAGCCAGAAAAGGTCTCCAACTGCGCCAACCTCCAGAAGGCAAAAAGAGATCAAGCACCTCATCCAACAAAGAGGCAACTTCGGAAGCAGTGGAAGAAAGCCTTGGAGGGGGAAAGGGAAGGCATCGAGGTGCTTCAAGCTGACATCAAAGACCGATTGGCATCCCTCCACAGAGCAAAAAAACCTGTGGAAAAACAGAGGAAAAAAGAAAGATCTAGAACACAGTTCTATAAAGACCCCTTCAAGTTTTTGAAAAGCCTCTTCACTAGAGAGAAAAGTGGATTTCTGAAGGCAGCAAGGAAAGACCTGGAAGATCACCTGAAAGCGACACACTCTGATCCAAGACGGCATGAACGGATGACCATTCCACCAGACATCCCACCAATCAACTTACCAGAACATCAGATGCAGACTGGTCCTCCGACCTGGAGAGAAGTGGAAAAGGTAGTACAACGGGCAAGGGCGGCATCAGCCCCAGGTCCTAATGGAGTCCCATACAAGGTGTACAAGAATGCACCGCGTGTCCTAAGGGTTCTTTGGAAGCTCATGAGAACGGTGTGGCAGAGGAAGATTGTGCCCAAAGTATGGCGTAGGGCAGGAGGGGTCCTGATCCCAAAGGAGAAGAAGGCGGAGAAAATTAGCCAGTTTCGGCCAATATCCTTTCTAAATGTAGAGGGTAAAATCTTCTTCAGCATCATTGCTAAAAGGATGTCTGAATACATTCAAAGGAATAAGTACATTGATACATCAGTACAGAAAGCAGGAATCTCAGGCTGTTCTGGATGCTTGGAACACTCTAGCATGATCTGGCACCAGATCCAGACTGCAAAGGTGAGGAAAAAGGACCTCCATGTCGTCTTTTTGGACCTCGCTTTTGGGTCAGTGCCCCATGAACTCCTGTGGGCTGCCTTCACCTTCTTTCACATTCCGGACACCATTATAACCCTGGTTAAATCCTACTTCCAAGACCTGCAGTTCTGCTTTACCACAGCTGATTTTACCACGTCTTGGCAATCATTGGAGGTTGGCATCATGGCAGGACGTACCATCTCACCCTTGGCCTTTACAATGGCAATGGAGGTCATCATCCGGGCATCAAAATGGGTAGTTGGTGGGCAGCAGCTTAATTCGGGCACAAGTCTTCCTCCCCTCAGAGTCTTTATGGATGACATCACTGCACTGACCACCACTGCTCCATGTACCAGGAAACTGCTCGGAAAACTGGAAGAGAACATCAGCTGGGCTCGAATGAAGATAAAGCCCTCAAAGTCACGTAGCATCTCCATTGTCAAGGGAGTGCTCTCCGACTACAGAATCTTCATCGGAGAGGAGCCCATCCCAACAGTGTCTGACCAGCCTGTTAAGAGCCTTGGAAGGTGGTATGACACCAGCCTGAAGGATAAAGATCAGGTGCAGAAGCTGCGGAAAGAAATCAGAAGTGGGCTCCAGGCCATCAACAACACTCAGCTCCCTGGAAGACTGAAGGCCTGGTGTTTACAGTTTGGCCTTCTTCCCCGAGTGCTGTGGCCACTTACCATTTTTGAGGTCCCAATCTCAACAGTGGAGAAG